ACAAAGGTATTTATTGCTAAATACTTACTGTGACAAATCAAGGATTTCTTCACTATATAGTGTTGCCAGTCGAGTCATGTCGAAAATTACCCAAAATAAAAGTAGGTGATATACCCCAGTTACATAACATCTCATCAAGATGTGCCGTTGACCTATTACGGATTTGAATATTCGGAAGTCCACCTGATCCACTTGTTACAATTCTAAAGTTAAAAATCAACTAATTATCCTGGAAAGTAAAGTTAACGAAAATAACTTAAATGAGCGCCAACTTACTTTGCTTTTGTGTAAAAGGTTAATTTTACAAATCCGGAAAAATCACCTCAAAGCCGTTTCAAAAGTGTAACCTAAAAATAACCAAGGCAATTCAAGCATTACTTAAAGGGTTACAAATACCTATGTATAACGTGGTATAGTATTTTTTATAAATTAATTTTAGTTACAGGTCCCTGCCCCACTCGACCGAAACTTTTTTATCAGTTACCCAGAGGCCACTGAAGCGTACGCTAAGGTTTTTCGTGGGTTTGAGTCTCGCGCGTGTCGTCATTTTTTTTCTATCCAAATACAGTTGATTAATTATGAAAATAAAATAAGATAAGAAAACAATAATATTCCTAACACATATTCTTTTGGTTAGTACACATTTAAATAAAACATTTTAACTGTTTAAAACGCGATATATATTAGTTTGATTTTTTTACTCCCCGTGACCACGGCTGCCCTTATTAAAATCATTCAAATAAGTTTAACTAATATATATCGCGTTTTAAACCGTTAAAGTGTGGTTAAACATATTCTTGTCCAAAATGTACATATTTCATGCGGCGGTGGTCTATTGACTTATGTCAAAACTATAATTGCTAATAAAGGAACAATCCAATTCGAGCCAATTTAGTCCACACATTTAAGTCTGATTCACGAAACTATACGCTAATAAAAACCCAAATACGGTAGTGCGCAAGGAAACGACTTAGGAAGCCGGATGCCATTTATTATGATGTTTCATGATAAATGTGAGTAAAAATAAATTATTCCTGATCAAGGTCGATGAAGAACTTATGTGTGTGTCAAAGAAACGAAGAATATTTTAGATTATACCGTGTAAATTATTTTTTTGTTATAAATTGTGTAAGGCTTTTTTCTTTCTTTGTTTTATATATATTTTTAATACACCTTGTCGGGCACGTTTGTGTAATGGTAGGAAATAGGAATGTATGGCTACTAATTACTGGATTGTGTCGATCGCCACTGGGTCCAACATTTTCTTATCAACTTATAGTTTGTCAATCTGGATATTAAATTGGTGGTTGGAATATCGAAATTCCGTCCGGGTAACGAACCACCGTCCAAAGGTGAAAAGGCCGTGAAGTTTAATCGCGTTTCAGTCTGCGGATTTTCGAAAGACAAAAGGTCGACAGTGCATCTTGTTTAGATGTTATATAGCTGGGGTATTTCACCAACCATCAAGCGAACCCCACCCCCAACCCCAGTTTGTCATACTGTATCAAAAAAAGAAACTCCGTTTACAGGCTCCTCAACGTTACTGTCATGTCATCGTGCATGAAATATGACGCGTGAGTTCTTTTAAATCGCAAATTAATTACGAAAGGCTCACAGCGAAGAGGGGAAAGAATGAAGGCCCAATTTCGGATTTCGAGCGATGCCATGACGCGCGGTTTGCGAGAAAACCTTGTGGACCTATAAATTATGTTGGTGACGAGTCAAAAAATATGTTGCTTTACAAAATAACCCACCGGTTCGAACAGGACGCGTACTTATTTTAATACATTTTTAGTTTTTATAAATAACTTTGTTTTGTTCTATTCAATTCTGGTTTAGTGTAGTAATTTAAACGTACTAATATATATATGATTTTTACAAAGCCCCTGTACCGATTAGGTTCGACTCTTGGAGAAAAACATAGCAGGGAACTTATAACCATGTTGCTAAATAGTTTTGATTATTTAAACGAACGCCGTCCCAATGAGTTTGCCCCGAGCCCCCATTAGGTACAATACTTTACTTTACGTTTTAATCATAGAAGAGTATTTCCATTTGCCCCGTATGGGGTTAGTCTAGATGTTAACCGGCTATTTAAAAGAGGTAAGTTTTCTTCGGCTTTAATTTTTTTTTTATTTATTATTACAGCTTTATAATCAATAACAAAACCTACAAGAGATAAAATCTTACGTACTAACTTATAAATAAAAGGCAGCCTTATCGCTAAGCAGCGATCTCTTCCAGGCAACCTGAAGTACAGGAGAAAAGAAATAATATTAACCGCCAAGATTATAAATGATAATTAGCAGCATAACTTCTAAGCAACATGACAGCTAGAGCCATGCCCTTAAATGTATTAGCTGTAATTAATTAATGCAAATATTTTCAAAGCGATCCCGAAACTGGGTCAAATTAAGCCCCGCGCCGAATTAAGTTTACAAACCGAATATATAATTACTTGGCCGCATAAAAAAGCAATACATGTGAAATGAATGCGGAAACTTTGAAATAAACACCTCCCGGGCGATCCGCCTTTCGTCCTCTAAATGGGGAGATGCGAAAGAGATTCGCGCAGCTATTTCAGGAGATGGAATTCTTTTATTCTTTTTGAGCAGTATTTAAATTTCATTTTCAAAACTGAGTAAAAACTGTGTCCCACCGTGATGACACTTGAAAGTAGTTTACAATATTTATCATAATTGGTCCAGCCGTTTTAATTGTCTGACACACTGTCAGTCTTTCGTTTGCGTGTGCACTGTGCACACTTCTGTGGTATACTTTTATACTAATAATTAATAATGTACAAGTTATTCCAAATGTAGGTCTTTGCGTTTTCAATTATTTTGAACCGTCTAATTATTTAATTAAAATACGACGTTGTCCCTGAGCTGTAACTAAATATAACCTTAATGGAATTAACTATAAGTTAACCACGTAAACAGGTAGATTATATACATACTGTCTACTATATACACATACATATGTCGTTACTCGTTACATTGTGACCATAGTTATGTTATTAAATGGAGTTAACCGTTTGTTAATAAATGTGTTGGCAGGTCCCTTGCCTCTTTCTCATTTACAACTTTTTAACTACGTTTTTATTTGTAAGCGAATGAAGTAAATGCTGTCTCTAGTTTACGCGAGTAGTCATATATATATTAGTCACACCTATTTGGTTTCAACTACGCCCCGACGTTTCGGATGCTTTGCAGCAGCCGGGGTCACAGGGAAGAGAGTCTCACCGTGACCTAAAAATAATTTCAAATATGTTTAACAAATATATATCGCGTTTTAAACCGTTAAAGTGTTTTATTTGAAAGTGAATGAAGTGAAATAAATAAATAATAGAATGAGTTTTCATACAGTGCAATCGGGAATTAAAGCAATATCTCTAGAAATCGCTTCGCTGGCTTTCGAGTGCACGGGCGAGAATAATCAGCGTTCATGCAGACCAATCGGTTTCAGATTTGATGCCAAGTTTACACTCATTCGACATGTATTTACTAACTTACGTATTATTTCGCTTCGTTTATGAACGTACATTGTGCTTCGTCTCATCTTGCACCGCGTGTCGAATTGTTTCATTACGCGAATACTTGCTCAGCGGGCGCTGCGGAGCTTTCGGTATTAGTTCTAGGAAGCTTTCCTTATGAAAATTCTTACTGCGGCAATATTGTTCGTTGGGAGAAGCCGGTGAAGGTGAATGAGGTAGAATTTTACCTTTTACTCTATAGGTGATCAGAGTTACCTACTAGAAACTGATTCAAACCATCGAATGTGACCAAGAGAATGGTGATAAGTATATTTTGCTAGTTGCTAATTGATTTACATGTAACTTATAAGTTACAAGGCAATTAACAGTAATATTTATAACAGCCGTCGTAACGCTATCGAGAAATGCATTAACATACGTAAACAGCACAGGAACAGAATTACTGCGTATTTTTACACGATTCATAAGTAAATAATAAACCGTACAGTTATTTCCAGATAAAAGGGGTGTGTTACTATTTCCTTGAATTACGGCGCATTGACGTCATAGTTGTAGTACTAGGCGATTTCTACGCTACTGTGTTTAACAATTTATGCAGTCAACTAATGAGCGACTAAAATAGGGTAGTTGTAGTTTTTACATACCAGTTACATACCCGCATTAAATACTTATTTCTGGAATATTCATTTTAATAATGTTTCGATATCAAAGCACGTTTTTAGAAATGAAAATTAGAAACCGTCATTGCATTTACGAGCTTCGTATCTTTTGGTGAAAGCATATCAATTTTAGACGCGATAAGAGGTCGAGATACAGGACGGGTCTTGCTCTAAGGAGATTAAATAATCTCTGCAGCAGGAACGTTAAATGGAGTGAAAATAATGTTAAATATATTTAGCAGCCGGTTCCAAGGAATATGTGCAGTGCTTGAACGATAGAGAACTGGCATTAAGATGTGGCACGGCGTTCGTTTGAGATAATAACACCAAGAAGTGATTGAACACATCTTTGAACTTTATCAATCAATGTTAATAATAATTGAGTAGATTTTACGTAGAGGAAAGTTGACCACTTCTTACCGTGACCACATGCCATGTTCTTGCTATCATCTGGAGCATCTTAGCGGAGTTTAACTGGAATAACTTAAACCGAAAATTTAAACCTCTTCTTTGTCCTTGCTAGTAAATTAGATAAAAACATGTACCTACTTGTGTCGATTGTGAAATGGCCATAAAGTAGCGTTTTCATAACCTGCCAAGCGCTAAAGGTTTTGTATAGGGGCTTTTAGATCTGACAGCCCGTTTCGGTTTCCCGAAATAGACAAATGAGATATTCATACATATTCATCTCTTTGATCCTACTTAAAGTACCGATTTTCGACTTTTGAAACGATATAATTCTCTTACGCCCCTTTTCAAGAACAGGAAGTGAGGAAGTGCAGGATTCTTCTAAAGTAACCTTGATGCAGATGCTGATCGCGTCTGCCCGGGCCGACGTTCGATTTTCACTTGGAGCATCGGAGCGCCCCCTCGCCCGGGTGGGCGTGGTCTGCGAGCCGGTCAATAGCACGGCATCGCGCATCTCGGTCCCGCCGCCGGCCGAGACCATAGCTCCGTCTCCCTCCCCCGGGGATGATTGAAACGTCTGATGCCGCAGGCGCCCCGCGCGCCCCCTCGCCAAGGACGTTCAGTGAATCCGTCCCTCTCTGCCGATAGCACGTGTCCCCGTTACTATTCCATAATATGTGTGACCCCCTGCGGCCGCGCGAAAATTCACGAGCAATTATGACTCAAGTGTCCGACGAATTAAGTGATCGATCGGTTTTGTGAAAGGATTGCCTCCGAGCGCCTTGCTGGACAATTTGCCGGTCATGCAGTGATATGGAGACAAGGGGCTCAGAAAACAGCGCTCACTTTCCGTCCTCGCTCTTCCCCTTCACTCGACGTTCCTTCAGGTACGTTAACTTTGCCTTCTGCTGAATCTCGCGAGGACCCCTCGACCCTGAAGTGCACTCTGCTGACGAGCGAGCTGCATAATTTACCTTTTTAGCTCTTGACGAAGAAAAGGAAGCCTTTTGTAACCGCTTTGTATAAATTCCAGCTCTGGCTAATCTCCTCAACGGTCGTAGAGTCTGAAAGTAAACTTCGTTTAATTTCCACAGTTATACAATAGCAGGGTGTGTCCTTTAAAAATAGTTCGCGATTTCGGCCTAGCCGTTTCTTCGTTCCAGTTTTTCCTTCAGAATGTCGCTGCAGCAACATTATATTAGCATATAGGCGCCCGCTCGTCGCCGGTTGTCTAGACGCGAAATAATTACGCTCCGCGCCAAGAGAGGCGGTCTGACTCAGCTCGAATCCGTCGCAGGATCGATTCACGAATTGGCATGGAAGGTCAGAGTAATCGAACACCGATGTTTGCTTTCGAAGCCTGAACTCGATACTGCCTTGTGGAGAATCGATTACTTACTTTGTAAATAAGGTGAATAAAGTTCTGTGTGTTGAAGCAGTCTCATTTCTCGAATATTTTTTGGTAGCTGAGCTATTGGTGTCGATAGATCTACAGAGGCAAGTAGTATAAGCTACTAGACGATTTGGCAAACGTTTTGCCTTTCAAATTACTAGTAGATAATAAATGTAATGATGTGATTGAAGGTTAAAGGATGTGGTTGTGACAATAAATAAAAAATAGTTGATTTAGCGAATTTGATTTATTTAGTCGACCACCCATTTCAATTAGGGGTAGGAAAAAAAGCGGTCGATTCTTAGACGTGAATATACATATATATATTTTATAACAATCAACCTGTCACTACCATAGTAACTAACATTTGGACACAAGATTTTTAACAGATAACTCGAAAAGTCAATGACTAATGGCTACATAATATTTAGATTAACACAATTATTAAACGAGCGGGATAAAGACTTTATATTTTTTAAGTTTTATACATTTCAATCTACATAAACGTTTGAATATTTCTCGATCATTATTCGGTTTAATATCACTAGAGCTGAAACGGCTTATATATCTGCATACCAACGAAACCATTACACTTCCTTTTAACTTCGGTGACGGTAAAAGGGTATTTGTAGGATCGTCTTTCTGTGTCCCAATACCTAAATTTTGAAAGGCGATCGATATAGTATTCTTCATCACTGGTAACTTTGATCGTGTATCGGCTTATTTCATAAACTGCGTTGCCATGTGAGTTACGTAAGGGTATTGTAACTACGTGGAGTTTCCTCTTCCGGCTGATGTTGTTGTATACATTATTTATTTTATCTAACTGTAATAGTTCTAATAGATTGATTAATTTAGTACAAAATTAGCTTAGTTACTAATTACAAAAAAAAAACAAATAAGTATACTCGAAAAATAAATATAAAATTTTTAACTAAAAGAAAACAGAAATAAAAGTAGAAAGTATTGTCCGTAGTTTACGCGAGTAGTATACATTTAAACAAAACACTTCTTAAATTTCATATTAAATTAACAGTTTAAATAAAACACTTTAACGGTTTAAAACGTTTTAAAAAAATCAAAATAATAGAAAGATTTATTACTCACATAGTACTAAAAGGAATAAGATTTTATAAAAGCGGCTTTAACACTTTTTTAAAACGGTCATATTATTTAGATATGTGGTAAAATTTTAATACCAAATACTTAAAACCTGAATCCATAATACTATTGTCCTGATTTTGGCCGTCCAACCCTAAAGGGTTTCGTCGTCACGACTGGACAGCATCAAGAAATATTGAGCGTTTTTAACGAGCATAGACCGAACCGGTGTACAGCTTGAAAGCCCAAGTAGCTAGCATAATGTCTACGAGACATTGACATTGTGTATTCACAGTATTGTCTATTGAGTAAAATGTCTTAAATTTTTAATAAAAAATACCTTGTTCACGGGCACAGCAAACACTGGCCAGATTACGCCCACGCAACCATTTCAAACGAATTAAATGATATTTTGATGGACAACCGAGTTCTATTATTTATTATTCAACGGTCATCTGGTGTTGTGAATGCGGAATTGTGATGTCATTAGCTGCGGAGGTATTTTGTGGAAATTTATGTGTAATTAAGTGTGACTATAGCCACTATAACTGTATGACGATTATCACTAATCCTATGCAAATGACGTGTTAGTATATATTTTTGACGAATTTCTTGGTGGTAATGGTAACAGTATATAGCTAATAATCAACGAGTCGTGGGTTACGTCTCCACCCCGTCTAATGTTTTTCTAATCAATTTTTTTTTTCTGAAACATGTCTTCGTCTTGAAATTGGGATATTAAGTGAAACGGGCCGTAATTAAAATAATTTTCAAATAAGTTTAACTAATATACAACGCGTTTTAAACCGTCAAAGTGTTTCATTTAAATTTACTAATAAACTGCAGACAGTATTTAAGCCCCTTAACCCTTTTGAACTTGCATCACTTTTCGTATTTACAGACATATATTAGCGGTAAGCCCATAACGTAACTATCCTATGGTTGATGTGTTAATAACATCGGACTAGTAAATGTGAAATGCTTTATTTCCTCAGTAAACAGATAATGAAATCATCGCTTATCCCGGGAAAGAATTGTCTTACGTGAATCATGCACTATTTTCTGGCACTTCGATGAGTGACGGATTTAGGTCCGTTGAAATTGTACTATTTATTGCTTTTAATGTTTTTTTTTTCATATTAAAACACCCCTGGTTACGAAAAAAATAAGAACGGACCAATAGTTATATACCCCTGGGTACAACAGTTAAACAAAATAGTACGAGTTTGTACTCAACCTGAGTTGTATATTTAAATAGAACACTTTAACGGTTTAAAACCTAAATATCACTTAATCTATTTTTAACTTGGAACCGATGTTTTAAGTTTCCCCGTGAGCACAATGTCCTTTAAAATTTTAAAGTGTTGTAATATATTTAAAATAGGGTTATTAAAATAATTTAAAGTATCGTAAAAGATCAAGTAAACTCTATAGTTGTCTGTACTGCTCTCTCATAAAAAAGAAAACCTTAAAAAAAGTATAAGTAGGTATATCAGGTATAATATAGAATGTCAACTTTTTACACAATTTCAAACTACATTTTACGACTACGAAATTAAACCATGAGACCTACATATTACACCCTGACAGGTAGTTCTGTCATGCGTCATTAGTATGAATTTCCCAGTAAAAGTGTGAAAAAAAAATCACAATAAAAATTTATGATTCACGTACGGTTTTATCTTCGTTCGCTGTAAACTCTTTCAAACAATGATAAAAGTGCGCGTCTTCGTGTATTTGGATTGTATTAATTTCAATGCCGGTACACTAATTATATAATTACTAATAAATATACTTCTGTACGTGTTAAGTTTATCTTAAATGCTATGTAAATTGAAGTTTACGAATTCGAACCAAAGACACTACGTTTAGTTCTATGGACCGAGTGCGTTGTGTCATGTGTGACTAAGGGCGATTGTAATTACAATATTCTTTAACGTAAAAAATAGGAAAGATTTTACTAAACATTTATTAAAAGAAACTAGTGCCCGCAGTGAACAGAAATCTACGTGAATTATCGCCCCGCATTTGTAAGTCTACTCGTAGTTATTTTAACTGTTTCAAACGCGAATCATATTGTTAGAACAGAACAGGGGTTGAGGTTTACTTGACGCTGTTGACCTTATTTGGCTTTGGATATTTGGAAATCCACCGACTGAAACCGAAACGTGATCACGTCAAGTTGGAAGAGTATATAAGAGAAGTCACGGCTGCTCAACAGTATTTAAGTTAGGTTATATTACAGAAAATTTAAAATATTTCGTTTTAACTTCCTGTAAGGTTATTATGAAAACTCGATTTCTTGCTTAAAATTCATACACTCTAAAGTGACGTATTGAAAAAATTACTATGAAGGCTGCATGTATTTTCTAAAAGGCTTTCTTAAGTAAACATAGCTGTCCCCGAAGTCAAGAGCACCGGTTGTCTTTCCGTATTGATCTGAGGCACTGCAAATATTTACCACGAGCACCGCTCCGGCCTAATTGTCTATTTGTCATAGGCCTTTTGTCCTCCACCAGTGTCGCCTCGAATTGCCTAACCGATGTAGTCCCCATTGGTTAGGCTACTACATGAATCTACTGTTCGTTGTGCACTCTATGAATAAAGACAGACAGTCTTTAGGTAAAAAAACTTAACGGTTTAAAACGTGAAATGTATTAGTTATCTTACTTAGATTTTTTTTTACTGCGCCCCGGAAATTTCGGAGGGGAGACAAAAATATATATAAATAAGTTATATAATACAGTTCGCGTTTTAAACCGTCAAACGTGTTTGTATTAAAGTAAATGTGTACTACTCTCGTGAATGACATGTCTGTCAGAATTCTCTTATTTATATATCTTAATATATCCATTATTTTGTTTCAGGTCGCCACCTGCATAATAGGGAGCCATACGCCGCGGCGGAAAGACGGGTGCGCTACGCACTCGTGGTAGGTACCAAATTTTTTTTTATTTACATCTTAAGAAAAATTATCTCTCAACAAAACAAAATCACAACATAAACAAAATTATTTGAGAAAAGATCTTAAATAATTTTGTTTGGCTGTCTGTCGTTTAGCTAACTTATAAGTAGAGGCTTATAATACAGCTAGCTGACCCGGCACCCAGTTAAGCTATATAAATAACTAGCTGTGGCCGCGACTTCGTCTGCCTCAATTCTTTTAGACGGGGTACTTTTTAAGTTAAAAAAAAAAACGAATTAATCTTGAAACGATAAACATAATATAATGTCACAGATAAGACAAGAGGAATAATTATTTCATACATATTGGTTTCTTGAATATGCTTTGGTCGAAAAAAAATAACTAACTTATTGTGACTGTGTGAAGATATAATAAATGACTGTAATAACAAAAAAAAATGATAATACCCAACCTCAGGTCTACCGAATATATACAGCATTTCATTAAAATCGGTTCAGCCCTATAGGAGTAATTTGCGCACATAGAGTTTTTTTTAACGCGCTAATCTAGGAACTACCGTAGCGAAGAAACATTGGCAGAATTCTTGAGTCTTCCGATGCATACTGAGCAAAAAAACGGTCCTAGAATCCAAACAATATCTAAGAAAGAATGATTTCTCCGCGACAATGTATGTCTGAATCTTAAGATTAACTCGCAAGAACCATTTTTATACTAATCATACATTATTACTACTTATTGCTTAGTTTTATCAACACCATAGTAATAATCTTGCAAGTTCTATAAATATATGAAGTGTCCATCCTAGTTAGTAATCCTAAAAGAAGATTTTAGTGTTATAAAAAGCCACTTCGAAGACCACTATGACTTGGAAAAATGTCACTGGAATTTCGTTATTCGCTCACAAAGCTTTTTAATCGTCCAGCCCAGATTCCGTCAGGGTTGTTATTGGACGTCCGATTTCGTGACAGCGGTGTACGTACTGCGCTGTCACCTGTCCATTGTTAATAGGCACGGACATTCCGATAGGTTTAAACTACTTTTATGACAGGTTTTAAAGGAATGGCTCTATGGAATGTTTCCATATATAGGCTTTGGTAAAATAATAAAGGGGACTTGTATAACAGTTTCCCGAATTTAATAGGTAGGTAATAAGACATCGTTCAACAAAAGTGTACTATCGTAAACTAGAAACAATGAATGAAGCATGTCTCAAACAAACATTTTATTACTTTCTTTGGAATAAGCTAAGATAGAAAACTCAATACGGTATTTATTCCAACTGTATCTATTCTATTTTGGCTCGGTTTACAACGGTTTTTACCCGTTCCAATTGGTTATTTATCCTTCCATGTCTTAAGATCCCACGTGACGAATTACGTTATGCGGTTTAAAATCAATCGCGGTACAATTCTTGTCACGTAACAGGACATGGGCGAAGCTCACACGAATTACGAATGGGAGCGGATTACACCTGCAACCCATAAGTCCTGACGGCGCTTAATTAGAAGCCAGCTCTGTTGGCCTACAGTGCTCGGGTTTAGATAGTTTAGATTTCAATTACAAAGAGCAATTGAGCTTGCATGCACATTGAGTACCGGTAACAAATCGCTGGCTTCACTTAATGAAACCGACTGAATTGAATATTACGTATACGAAAACGGAATCA